ACAGCCTTTAATAACTATTGCTGCCCAAGGAACCTACTGCAAAGCCTGTGTCTGCAAGAGGGCATCTGTGTGTGCACAGCTGGAGAAGGTCCACCCCAGGGTACATCGCTCCTAGTTAGGCTGCCCAAAAGCAGTGTCCAAGTCTGAGGTTTCAGGGCCTTGGGCCCAGATGGCTGTGCACCAAGTACAGCCAAAGCCTCCAGGGCTTCGTCCAGCCTCCTGAATGGCAGAGGATGAAGGCAGTGTGCTTAGAACATTCTGCCTGACCTGCTCAACTTCATAAGTATACACACAGACGAGAGAGAGAGAGAGAGAGAGAGAGAGAGAGAGAGAGAGAGAGAGAGAGAGAGAGAGACTAGCAAAAGATTGAATACATTGAGATTCCCTGTCTTTCCATCCTAAACCCTGTAACATGATCTCTTGGGCAATTAACAAGACCTTTAAATTATGAAATTAGCTGCATTTGCATGTTAGGAAACAACACGCAACTCTCTCATTCCTTCTGAGAAGCACTTTTAAGAGCCGATAGACTCTGCCCCAGGGAAGGGATCTTGACCCAAGTGGCCTCCTCCTTCCTAGTCTTGCGCCCTACCTCCTCTACTGGTTGGTTGCCCAGCTCAGACTCCCATTTGTCCCACTCTTGATGGGAGTGAACTTAGATCCAGATCTCAGGTCTAATCCAAACAAGTGTGGCCTCTAAGCCCCATCTGTGAAATGGGTGCAGTAAGATCCCACACCTCAAAACGAGTGGTCAGACTGAGACTGCCTGTCAAATTCTAATCATAGCTAATGAGTGAGTAAGACAGGAGGAGAGGCCTGGTTTCCAAAGCGTGGGCCCTGTGCAGAGCCAGCTTAAAGCAGAGCCAGCATCAACCAGAACTACCAAGCGGCCACCAAGGACTTTAGGATGTTACCTTGCTGCCACCTACTGGCCACTGTCAGCCTCACAGCCACCCCTCTATCTGCCACTAGAGGAGTAGACCCACCCCCTCCCCACCCCCGTTGGTCCACCCTATAATATTCTGGCTGGGCAGGACCCTTAGAAAACCAGTCATTCATCAGGGGTGTGTGACAGATGTCCATGCTGTAGGGAACTCCGGGCATCACGGACAGCACGCGGCCAAGCTGCCTGCTTAAGAACCAGAGCTTGCTCACCTCTTCCCTCTGGGAGGGATGCTAAAAGATACAAAAGTTACTTCCCTATGCTTAGCTCTGCAGACTTCCAGAAGAAACTTCCAGAAGCTGACCAGAGACGCGAATGGAGGCAGACAGTGGGTCAGGGAGTTGAGCCAGGGAACAGGTTGAACCGAGAAAGTGACAGACAGAAAGCAGCAGGACAATGTGTGGGCCGTGGGCATGTGGGGTTACGTCACGGAGTGTGGTTATTCCTCAGGGATTGGATGCAGCTCAGCTGACATAGTACTTACCTGACATGCATCAAGCCCCAGGTTTAGTCCCTTGAACTGCACTGAGCTGTGTGTGGTGCACATGCACATGCTTATAATAACCCCAGCACTGGACGGTCAGAAGTCCAAAGCCGTCCTCCTTCTCGCCTCTGTGATGAGTTTCAGACCAGCCTGGCCTGCATAAGACACTGTCTCAATTAGCTGGACTGACAGTGTGTGCTCCTGAGAACTAACTCTCCTAGCTGTCCCCAGACTGGCCAGCAGCCACAACAGCCGCAAAAGTATTCAGGACTGGGGAAGCCCCAGACATCGATCCCAAAGCCAATGGGAAACCCACTGCCTACTCAGCAATGTGAACGCCAAGGGCAGCTGTTCTCAAAATGTGTTTCCTGATCCCACAGCATCAGGACCACCTGGGGAACTTGCTGGAAATGCAAATTCTTGGTCTTGGTCCCAGATCTGAGCCAGAAACAGGGGAGGTACGACCCAGCAATCTGTCTCTCAGCAACCCTCACAGTTGGTCAGTTTGTTCCTTCAAATCCAAGAACCTGTAACCTGGAGGAGAGTCTGGAAGCAACTGCCACCAACAGCCATGAGGATGTGACAGCTGCCCTCTAACAGAGAGAGGCAAAGGGGTGGCAGTGACTGACCCAAGGTCACGCGGGTAACAGGTGGGAGATTAATCTTTTGCCTCTATCCAACACACACACACACACCAAACCACACACACCCTGCCATGGAAGTTAGTGACACCAACATTTGGGCTCTAGGCAGAGGATAAGTATTAGCCCCCAAAGTTCCCCTCTCCCTCTGTCTTATTTCCCTCTGCTTTCTAAACTGAAGCTTCCACCTGGTGCCACCAAATGGCCCTGGAAGCTCTTCTGGGAAGACTGCCAAAGCCAGGTGTCCTTGTCTTGGCTGTCACCTGCACCCCCACCCCACCCCACAGCAACCCCAACTCCCATCAGGACCAGCCATGGCCATCCCTACCCTCTAAACAGTGGGATCCAAACAGTCTGAGACCCATGGGTTAAACCTCGGTAAGAGTCTGTACAGGAACACCCTTTAAGGCACTTCCTTGGCAGGGCTCCTCCTTCCCCGTCTTGTCCCCCAGCCTTCCTTCCCTCCCCTCTGCTCCCACTCCATCTGTCGCTCCTCCTGGCTAGGCTCCCCCTCAGTTGGCACAGCAGGAAAAGAGAACAGGATGGTCTATTTTTATCCTGAGATGTTGTCGTGGGGCAAGAGAGGGCACCATCTGACTGGGAAGCATTGTGGGGGGTCATAAGGCAGCAGGAGACTCAGGATCTCCCTGAAAGCTGTTGCCCACTATGGTTAGGTTCTGGGAAGCAGAGAGACAGAGCTTGGAGCAGCTTGGAACCAAGAGTCCACAGGCCACTGCACTGCACTGTGTCACAAATGGCAAGTCACTCCATCTCTCTGTACCCATTTCTACTCCTGCAAAACAGGGAGGGATTCGGACACTGCCTGCCCTCTAAGGCTGCTTCTGTGTACCTGAAGCCTTGCTAGCTTACCGCTGAATGTTAACACACAGGCAAAACTCCCTGGAGACTACAGCAGTCTGGGGACACGCTTACTTAAGCTCAGAAAATATCCTAATTCTTCCAGTCTAACAGCAAATTAGAGATATCATGGCCTAGCATGTCTACCCTCAGACTCCTTTGTACGTGTTTGGTGATTTTTTAAAAAATGATGTGAGCATTATATGAATCTACTGTTCTCTTGGAAAAATAATGAAGCATTATGGGAAACACAGCACTCCCACCCGATCACCTCAGACCACATCATTCTTTTTTAAAAAAAAAAATTGCTCATTTATATTATGTGTACAAGTGTTCTGCCTGTGTGGTATATGTGTATCACACATGTGCGATGTCCATAGATGTCAGAAGAGGGTATCAGAGCCCCTGAAATTGGATGGCTATGAGCCACTGTGTGAGTGCTGGAAACCAAACCAAGAGCCCTCGCAGGAGCTGCTGCTCTTAACCCAGCTCGCCAGACCACTATTGCAGTTGTGGTTTTCAAGGCTTCCTTGGAAATCTTACCCACACAGGCATTCACAGTATCTTAGCTTTCCTTCCATCTCTCTCTCTCTCTCTCTCTATATATATATATATATATATATATATATATATATATATATATATAT